CAGGAATGCAGACTCAGTGGTACCAGATCATATGATTTTTCAACAGAAACTGGAAAGATTGATTTTTGTGATAAATTTCTCAAATTTTAAAAAAATATTGGCTACTAACTTAAAAAATAAAAATTGTTGATTAAAAAAATCAACATGGTGAGTAAAATTTGGTTCTGGGGCCACCAGTTTGAGACTCCTGCTATTCATTTATTCATCCATTTAACAAATATTTATTGAGGGCCTACTATGAGCTTAGGATACACAGTAAACAAAACAAAGATCCCCTGCCCCATGGAACTTCTAACAGTGAAAGAACAAACCTAAACACTAAGCACAAGAAAATTATTTCATATGTTAGATGATAGCTGCTATGGAGGAAAATAGAGTAGAATAAAGAAGGATCAGGAGTGTGAAGGAGGTGGGGCAGTTGCAGTAATAAATAGGGTGATCTAAGTAGGCCTCATTGAAAAGGTGACATTTAATCAAAGACCTGAAGGGGGTGAGGGATTTAGGCCAAGCGAACATCTGAGGGTAAAAGCATTCTGTGTCAAAGCAACAGCCAGTGCAAAAGTCCTAAGGAGAATGTGTCAAATGTTTTCCACAAACAGCCAGGAGTCCACTGTGGGTGGAGTAGTAAAAGCTACAGGGAGAGTAGAAAAAGAAGAGAGCTAATGGGGCCAGGTCATTGTAGGGCCTTATAGACCATTGTCTGGCCTTTTTCTTTTACTCTGAGTAAAGGGGGAAGTCATTGCAGGTTTTGGGTAGAAGAGACATGATCTGACTTGTGTTTTTAGAAAGATTCTGACTGTTGTATTGTAAATAAACTGTAGAGCTTTAAACGATGTTTGTTAGGAGACTATTCCAGTAATCCAGGAGAAAGATAGTGTCTTATTCCAGGGTGGAGCATTGGAGGTGATGGGATGTGGCTGGATTCTGGAAATAGTATAAAGGTAGCACCTAAAGGATTTCCTGGCGTAGGAGAGAAGTTGAGTCCAAGAACTGAAAGAATGGAGTTACCATCAACTGAGAGGGGAAAGGCTGCAGGTGAGTCACTATGGGGCAGGGTATAGAGATGGATTTAGTTTGGAGCATGTTAACTTTGAATTGTCCATTAGACATATAAGGGGAAGATGACAGGCAGTTGGATATTCATGTCTGGAGTTTAGAAGACTAGGGTGAAGACAGAAATTTGAAGTCATTGGTGTATAAATGGTACGTTAAGCCATGAGACTGAATGGGATCACCAAGATTGTGTACACTGAGAAGAGTAAAGATCCAAAAACTGAGTCCTGGGGGCCCTCTGAGAAGTGGGGAATAAAAGAGAAATCAGCAAAGGAGACTGCGAAGCCTCCTTTGAAATAGTGCAAAGGAGACTCCTTCGCACTATTTGCGAAGGAAAATAGTGAAGTAGGAAGGTAATAAAAACAAATTGGTGTCCTGGAAGCTAAGAAAGTAATTAGGAGGAGGGACTACTGGTCAAAGGCTGTTTATGTGTCAAATAACATGATGTATAGAGCATCTTTCCATGAATCTCTTCTGCCAAACAGACCCTATTCACTCCATTTATATGGTTTACTCCCCAGTACTGAGACCCTCCACGGAGGGAACCGTCTCCCTTGTGATTTAGAATTCTTTAAACATGAGCCTAAATACTGCGGTGTCACGACTGAGGATTAGACGACTTCCTGGGGCTTGCAAGTTTTCCAGAGGATCCCATCGTTCCACCACTTTTAGGCAGGTTTGAAGTAAGGAAAAATGAGAGCAGCACCCTCTCCCCTCAGCATCCAGTTATCACAGAATGTCAGAATTGGAAGTGGCCTCAGAGAGCTACTAGAGCTCAGTCGAAGCCCCCATCTTAAAGACAAAGTGAAGCCAAGAGGGAGAGGGTGTCTTTCCCGGTGTCAGTGCACCTAACAGTCACTCCACTATGTGTCAGTGGCTATGGGTGTCCCTCCCCCGAAAAGAAATTGGGAGAAGGGAGTGGAGGAACGCTGAATCGTGGAGCATTCATCCCAGATCTCCGGTCTCGAGGCAGCCAAGTCGCAGCCCAATCCGGGCCCAGGCTTTCCCCGGGCTTCCCCCGGGCTCAGCTCGGACAGAGCCGCGCGCGGCTCAGGCGCGTCGCGGGCACCCGGTGGGGGCCTTTCCTGCCGCCGGCGCCGGGGGCCTTCTACGCCTCCATCCGCGCCCGAGAACATGGCGGCGGCCCCAGGCAGAGCTCTGTTGCGGGTGGGCACTGAGCGGCTGGTGCGAGGAGGGGTTTGGGAGCTCCTCCGGCCGCGACTGGAAGGGGGCACCTCCGGCTGGGAGCGCGACTTCAGCCTGTCTCACAGTCGGGTGAGGGCCGGGTGTGCGTTCTGGGGCTCCTTGACTGGGGCGCGTTGAGACCTGATGGGGCCCCGGCCTGCGGGTGGTGGGCTCTCCTTGAGGGGCCGGCGGCCAGAGGAGGAGGCTTCTCCGTGGAGACTCGCTCACCCTCGCTTCCCCGGCCGCCAGGGCACGGTCATTGTGGAGCGCTGGTGGAAGGTGCCGCTAGCGGGAGAGGGCCGGAAGCCGCGCCTGCACCGGCGGCACCGCGTCTACAAGCTCGCTGAGGACACGAAACACCGGCCCAAAGGCAACCTGGAGCTCATCCTCACGCAGTCGGTGGATGGTAAGGCCCAGGCAGAGGTGCTTCCTGTCTCACGCTGGTCCTGTTTGGCATCAGCTTTTTTCTGCCCTTTCACTAATTTGGGGGAATGACCAGCTCATATTTGAGAAAAGGAAGCCATAAAAAGTACTGTGATGGTGACATTGGCCTTCTACATAGAAAATCAGAACATGAATGCAGCAGCATCATTAACAGTGTGTGGGGAGAAAGAGACCTGACAGTATGTGCCACAGATACTGAAATCCCATGATGGGACAGTGCTTCACTTTGTACAGGGAATATTAAGTTTCTAAATCAGGTCCTAAAGAAATGAGTTAGAAATCTCTTAAGTGTTGTCCTAGTGAATACTAATATTTCTTCTAGGAAGAATAAGCACTGTGAGAGAATAAGAGGTCTTTTTTCCTTTGATCATCTCCTTTTATAGAGACTACTCGATAATTTTGATCCAGTGTCTCTGTTCTCTGTTGGCAGAACTTGGAGTCCGAGGTGACCTGGTCTCAGTGAAAAAATCTGTAGGCCGTAATCGACTACTCCCTCAAGGACTGGCTGTATATGCATCTCCTGAAAACAGGAAGCTGTTTGAAGAGGAGAAATTGGTGAGCCCGGAAGACGGCAGAGGGACTTGGAAGAATTAAAACCTTAAGATTACCTCTAGCAACTTCTTCTAGCCCCTACTTCATTGGAGTAGAGGCTAGAACAGGAATTCAGAAACCCAGCCTATGCCGAGCATAGCAAGAGTTTGTTATTAGTTACCACAAACTCATTTTTCTTTTTGTTTTTCATCTGTAACTTTCTTTTCTAGCTGAGACAAGAAGGAAAATTAGAGAAGATCCAGACCAAGGCAGGTGAGACGGTGAGTAGAAACACAGAAAATCTTTATTTATGGGTCACCTACAAAGTCACCAACCTCTTCCTGAAAGACTTCTTGATTTCCTTGAAGTCTCCTGATTTCAAGCACAAGGTAGGGGCAAGGGGAAGTGTTGTGGCTACCATAACTGGTATTGAGATATCCTAGGATATCCTGACCTGTTGGGTGAAGTGCTCTAGTTTATTGAGGGAGGCCCCAACCTGGGTACCAGGGGACCCATGGAAAAGCGAGATGAGGACTCTGCCTTCGGGGTTGTTTACAGACAAGTTGGAGAGAAAACAGACACGTGAGAAAGTGATAAACTCAAGGCAGTAAATTATGAGTGACATGGACCAAAATGGATTAGGGTGATTGGGAAAGGATTTTTTTCAGATGGGATTGAATTAGGCCTTATGGGATTAGTAGGCTTTGGATAGACCAGGAAGGTGGGAAAGGTATTCCTAAGGGAGAAAAAATAGATAGTTAAGGCACGTTGTTGTTGTTTAATTTTTTAAAAAATTTATGCAATTTTTAAAGGTTAACTTCATTTACAGTTATTATAAAATATTGGCTATAGTCCCCACGTTGTAGAATACATCCTTGTAGCCTGTCTTACACTCTATATCTGTGCATGTTTCTTTTTTGTTATATTCACTGGTTTGTTGTATTTTTTAGATTCCACATACAAGTTATCATACAATATTTGTCTTTCTCTGACTTATTTCACTTAGCATAATGCCCTCCAAGTCCATCCTTGTTGTTGCAAATGGCAAGATTTTGTTCTTCTTTATGGCTTAGTATTCCATTGTGTGTGTATGTGTATGCACATACATATTTTTGTGTGTGTGTGTATATACACATACATACTACACCTTCTTTATCAGTTCATCTGTTGATGGACACTTAGGTTGCTTCCATATCTTGGCAATTGTAAATAATGCGGCTGTGAACATTGGGGTGCACGTATCTTTTCAAATTAGTGTTTTTGTTTTTTTCGGACATATACCCAGGAGTGGAATTGCTAGGTCACAGTTTTAGTTTTTTGAGAAACCGCTATACTGTTTTCCACAGTGGCTGCACAAACTTACATTCCCACCAACAGTGTATGAGAGTTCCCTTTCTTCCATATCCTCTCCAACATTTGTTATTTATGTTCTTTTTGATGATAGCCATTCTGACAGGTGTGAGGTGATATCTCAGTTAAAGCATGTTTTAAAATAGAAAGTAGACCAGTCTAGCTAAACAGAGGACTTCTATTAGGAAATATATGACTGGAAAGAGGGTTGGGGCATGATTTACAAAACATGTTTAATCCTCAGCTAATGAATTCATACTTCGTTCTGTAAGCAGGGAGGAATTGTTATGGTGTAGGGGTGGGATTGAAGGGCCAGAATATTGTGTTAAAACAGTCTATGAAAATCATTCCATCCTGAGATACACCAGCAGCCCCCATTGGTGAGCCTAACCTTGGTTTGGGGGGCGGTGATTAAAAACAGTTTTAAAATTTAAAAAAAATTTTTCTTTCTTTCTTTTGGCTGTGCCGGGTCTTAGTTGCAGCATGCAGACTTCTTAGTTGCAGCGTGCATGTGGGATCTAGTTCCCTGACCAGGGATTGAACCCGGGCTCCCTGCATTGGGAGCACGGAGTCTTACCCACTGGACCACTAGGGAAGTCCCTGATGAGCCTAACTTTGACATGGCCTGTTTCTCCTTGCTTAGGAATAGTCACGTATAGGCAGCATTTCCTTCCAGAGCATCGCTAAAACATCTTTCCATAATATCAGCCTTGAGACAATGAGAATTTTTATCTTTCCTATTCATCATCTCACCTATCTTGGCTATGAGGCAGAAATTGTGCTTAGCCTCTCAGACTGTGTGCCTCTTGGCCTCTTGCTAACATGTTTCCTCTCCTTTGATTACAACTCTAACCTATGTTCTGTGTATGATTCCTCTCAGACAGTGAAATTTCTGAGAAGATGTCACCTGCAGGTAGGGATGAAGAACAATGTCAAATGGGAGCTAAACCCTGAAATAGTTGCCCGCCACTTCCTCAGAAATGTGAGTATTCCCAAACACTGCTGTACCCCTGAGGGTGGAGACTACCCCTGGGAAGAAGAAGCTACCCCAGGATAGATCCCTCTGTTAGGAAAGGGTATGATCATCCAGCTGGAGTTACAGAAAGCATTTTTTTTTTAATTGTAGGGTTTTTTTTTTTTTCATTTTAACATCTTTATTGGAGTATAATTGCTTTACAATGGTATGTTAGTTTCAGCTTTACAACAAAATGAATCAGTTATATATATACATATGTTCCCATATCTCTTCCCGCTTGCGTCTCCCTTCCTCCCACCCTCCCTATCCCACCCCTCCAGGCGGTCACAAAGCACCGAGCTGATCTCCCTGTGCTATGTGGCTGCTTCCCACTAGCTAGCTACCTTACGTTTGGTAGTGTATATATGTCCATGCCTCTCTCTCGCTTTGTCACAGCTCACCCTTCCCCCTCCCCATATCCTCAAGTCCATTCTCTAGTAAGTCTGTGTCTTTATTCCTGTTTCACCCCTAGGTTCTTCATGACATTTTTTTCCTTAAATTCCATATATATGTGTTAGCATACGGTATTTGTCCTTCTCTTTCTGACTTACTTCACTCTGTATGACAGACTCTAGATCTATCCACCTCATTACAAATAGCTCAATTTCGTTTCTTTTTATGGCTGAGTAATATTCCATTGTATATATGTGCCACATCTTCTTTATCCATTCATCCGACGACGGGCACTTAGGTTGTTTCCATCTCCGGGCTATTGTAAATAGAGCTGCAATGAACATTTTGGTACATGACTCTTTCTGAATTCTGGTTTCCTCAGGGTATATACCTAGTAGTGGGATTGCTGGGTCATATGGTAGTTCTATTTGTAGTTTTTTAAGGAACCTCCATACTGTTCTCCATAGTGGCTGAACCAATTCACATTCCCACCAGCAGTGCAAGAGTGTTCCCTTTTCTCCACACCCTCTCCAGCATTTATTGTTTCTAGATTTTTTGATGATGGCCATTCTGACTGGTGTGAGATGATATCTCATTGTAGTTTTGATTTGCATTTCTCTAATGATTAATGATGTTGAGCATTCTTTCATGTGTTTGTTGGCAATCTGTATATCTTCTTTGGAGAAATGTCTATTTAGGTCTTCTGCCCATTTTTGGATTGGGTTGTTTGTTTTTTTGATATTGAGCTGCTTGTAAAATTTGGAGATCAACCCTTTGTCAGTTGCTTCATTTGCAAATATTTTCTCCCATCTGAGGGTTGTCTTTTCATCTTGTTTATGGTTTCCTTTGCTGTGCAAAAGCTTTGAAGTTTCATTAGGTCACATTTGTTCATTTTTGTTTTTATTTCCATTTCTCTAGGAGATGGGTCAAAAAGGATCTTGCTATGATTTATGTCATAGAGTGTCCTGCCTATGTTTTCCTCTAAGAGTTTGATAGTGTCTGGCCTTACGTTTAGGTCTCTGATCCATTTTGAGTTTATTTTTGTGTATGGCGTTAGGGAGTGTTCTAATTTCATTCTTTTACATGTAGCTGTCCAGTTTTCCCAGCACCACTTATTGAAGAGGCTGTCTTTTCTCCATTGTATATTCTTGCCATCCAGCTGGAGTTACGGAAAGTATTTTTTTTTAATTGAAGTATAGTTGATTTACAATGTGTTAATTTTCTGCTGTACAGCAAAGTGATTCAGTTAAACATATATATACATCCTTTTTCATATTTTTTATTATGTTTTTTTACAGGATATTGAATATAGTTCCCTGTGCTGTACAGTAGGACTTCGTTTTTTATCCATTCTATACATAATAGTTTGCATCTGCTGATCCCAAACTCCCAATCCATCCCTCCCCCACCTGGCAACCACAAGTCATTTCCCTCCCACACCCGTGTAAACCAATCAAGAATGCTTTCCCTAAGTTAGACAGCCTCATGTAAATCAATGCAACCTGCCCCTTGGCAACCACAAGCCTGTTCTCTACGTTTGTGAGTCTGTTTCTGTTTCATAGATCTTTTTTCTAATATAAATTTATTTATTTATTTATTTATTTATTTATTTTTGTCTGCGTTGGGTCTTCGTTGCTGCACGTAGGCTTTTTCTAGTTGCGGTACACAGGCTTCTGATTGCAGTGGCTTCTCTTGTTGTGGAGCACGGGCTCTAGGCGCGCAGGCTTCAGTAGTTGTGGCACGCAGGCTCAGCTGTGGCTTATGGGCTCTAGAGTGCAGGCTCAGTAGTTGTGGCGTGTGGACTTAGTTGCTCCGTGGCATGGGGGATCTTCCCGCACCAGGGCTCGAACCCATGTCCCCTGCATTGGCAGGTGGATTCTTAACCACTGCATCACCAGGGAAGTTGTTTCATATATCATTTATGTCATATTTTAGATTCCACATATAAGTGATATCATATGGCATTTGTCTTTTTTTTTTTTTTTTTTTTTGGAGTATGCGGGCCTCCCCCCGCTGTGGCCTCTCCCATTGCGGAGCACAGGCTTAGCAGCCATGGCTCACGGGCCCAGCCGCTCCGTGGCATGTGGGATCCTCTCAGACCGGGGCATGAACCCGCATCCTCCCCCATCGGCAGGTGGACTTTCAACCACTGCGCCACCAGGGAAGCCCTGGCATTTGTCTTAGTTCACTTAGTATGATAATCTCTAGGTCCATCTTTGTTGTTGCAAATGGCATTGTTTCATTCTTTTTTATGGCTGAGTAGTATTCCATTGTATATACGTACATCTTCTTTTTCCATTCATCTGTTGATGGACATTTAGGTTGTTTCCATGTCTTGGCTATTATGAATAGATCTGCTGTGAACAGAGAGGTGCATGTATCTTTTTGAATTATAGTTTTGTCCAGATACATGCCCAGGAGTGGGATTGCTGGATCATATGGTAGCTCTCTATTTTTAGTTTTTTAAGGAACCTCCATACTGTTTTTCCATAGTGGCTGTACCAATTTACATTCCCACCAAGAGTATAGAAAGGTTCCCTTTTCTCCACACCCCCTCCAGCATTTGTTATCTGTAGACTTTTTAATGATGGCCATTCTGACCAGTGTGAGGTGGTAGTTCATTGTACTTTTGATTTGCGTTTCTCTAATAATTAGTGATGATGAGCATCTTTTCATGTGCCTGTCAGCCATTAGTATATCTCCTTTGAAGAAATGTCTATTTAGGTCTTCTGCCCATTTTTTTGATTAGGTTGTTTTTTTGTTGAGTTGTTTGAGCTGGTAGTATATTTTGGAAATTAAGCCCTTGTCAGTAGCTTCATTTGCAAGTATTTTCTCCCAGTCCATAGGTTGTCTTTTCGTTTTGTTTATGGTTTCCTTTGCTGTGCAAAAGCTTGTAAACGGTCTCAATTGTTTACTTTTGCTTTTATTTCTATTGCCTTGGGATACTGACCTAGGAAAACATTGGTACGATTTATGTCAGAATGTTTTGCCTACGTTCTTTTCTAGGAGTTTTATGTTGTCCTGTCTTACATTTTAAGTCTTTAAGCCATTTTGAGTTTATTTTTGTGTATGGTGTGAGGAAGTGTTCTAACTTCGCTGATTTACATGCAGCTGTCCAACTTAGGGAAAGCGTTCTTGATTGGTTTGCAGGGGTGTGGGAGGGGAATAACTAAGGATGGTCACATAGATTCTGAAGACTGATAGGAGAAGATGGTGGGATCATTTATTTTCTCTAGCTAGGGAAAACCTGGGGAAATGTGACTCACTGGAGAATTTTTACTTTTGTGGGTGAAGTGAGTTTGATCTCAAGCCCTGTTTCTCTTTGTGAATCCACCTCCCTTTCTGAGAAATTAGGACTGAGTTATTCTGCCACTATTTATGGAGGTTTGTGCCTTTCCATGGGATCAGCCAGGGTAAACCCCCCAGTTTTATTCACCCATGTACAGGAAAATCTAGAGGTTGCCTGGAGTGGCAACCATGTAAACAGAGTTCCCTTTGGCTGTGATTGATTTTTTTTTACAGCTTGGTGTTGTGGTTGCCCCACATGCATTAAAGTTACCAGAAGAGCCTATCACACAGAGGGGCGAGTACTGGTGTGAGGTGACGGTGAGTGTTTCACATCCTGTCTCCTTTTTCTCCCTGGGTAGAAAGCTGGGATTGGATGGTGTTAGTTCGTATCTGCCCCACTGATCTGAAGATTCCTGTTGTTTTGTGTACAGGTAAATGGGCTTGACACTGTGAGGGTACCTATGTCTGTGGTGAACTTTGAGAGGCCCAAGACCAAAAGATATAAGTACTGGTTAGCCCAGCAGGCTGCCAGCTCCACAAGCTCCCAGACCATCTGAACCTGTTCTACCTCGAAAGCAGCAAAGCAGAATCAGAGGAGAGGTGGAGCGAAGATGGGCCAGCACCGTGATATCACTCCCAGCTCCGACCAAACACGGAATTTTAGAAAGCGTATGGAGACAGCGACAGCAGACTAGACTGAATATACGTTGAATTGTCCGTATTTGCCATCTTCAGCGGTTATCACATCTAGCGTTATTGGGGCAGGCCTACTCCAGAAGTACCAGGCTGTAGATTTGATAAGCTAAATATTAATAGACCAAAAGAGTCTAGATCTGTTTAGCCTCGTCCTACATTGGAATTCATTGGAATAAATGATAGAGGTAGCTCATTCTCATCATCCAAACTAAACGTTTGTATCTGAAAAAAAAATAAAGAGGTTGTGTTCTTTTTAGGTGTTGTTTACTGGACTGAGTAGACTGGGGACAGGACCTCTATGTGGGATGTCCTCTTGAGCCACTGGGGTTTACTGCTAAAAAGGAAAAAAGAGAATACATTTGCAGGCTACAGCCCACAGTTGCTATGGACAAATTACTCAACAAGTTGATATGCCTTATGGTCTTAAAACTTATTAGGTATGCTAATAAAGCCCTCAATACAAATAAGCACAATGGAGTCTACTTTTCTAAGGAGATCTGAATAAGGCCTAAGGGAAATTGTTGGAGAAAATGACGCTGGGATGAAAGAAGTTTAAAAAGGGAACTTCTGTTTTATTTCTTCAACCACTTCCTGAAATTTTGAAAAAGAAAATACCTTGGTTTCCAGACCAAGGTTAAGATATGGGGCTAGTTCGTAGGTAATTACGGAATAGGAGATGAGGCAAGTAGATAGTTCTGTGTAAGTTCAAGGTCCATTCCTGGAAAAAAGACCAACTGTTGACAAGTGGATTGTGCCAGAGTCACTCAAATAAATATGAGACTGCAGTTTAGGAAGGATAAAGATGAGACCATTGACTCTATTGCTACCCTTACCAGAGAAATTGGTTTCTATCATCCTATTTGAGCTCACCTGCCTTGCCAAGCCAACTAACTACTTTCATCCACACAAAGCCATCCCTGCTATTGAGCGTTCTGTCATCAGTAGTTGCACTAATATCTGTATCCAGCCTCACGCTTGCCAGAACTCTGTAACAGGTCGAGCACTAGTACTGTTTGCAATTGCCATTTGATTGTCAGATTAGCCATCAATCCCTGCTGTCCTTGAAATGGAAAGCTCACTTAATACTGCATCTTTCCACACCATCACCATCACCATGATGACACTCCCTGAAACTGAGCACAGGAGCAACGTTCCACATAGCGAATCTCAAAAAGTGTTCAAATACTTGTCATGAGGTGAGTTCCTGGCAAAACAGACTGAGTTGGAGATTCAGGTGCAGGAAGTTTACTGGGGGTGTCCTCTAGATTAACACCTGTTGTGGAGTGAAGGAGGCAAAATTCGGTAGAGGGAGAAGCTGAGCTGACGCAGTCTCAACAAAGGGCTTAGTCCCCCGGGGAGCTCAAGCTAGGGTGGCTTGAGTCATCTAGGTGTGTACCATGTTGAGGAAAGTGGCCAGACCTATAGAACCCCACGCTGACCAGGAAAGGGTCTTGGGTGAGGTGACTGATCTCAGGCACAGGCAGTTCCCAGAGGGGAACTCAGATGAGAGCTGTGCGCATTCTCAGCAGCTTGGGAAGTGAGTGCTTCGGTGCTGAAGGGAGCAGTCTGGGCAGCACACCAGTCTCCACTACAGTCCACTTCTTGTGCTGTCAGGTCAGTTTGTTCATAAGTTCTAAAACGATCCCTTCAGGATCCTGATGGGCTTCCTTTCCTGGGAAAACGTGGAGGAAGATCTGGGACAGACTACAGCCCCTGCTGCTGTAGCTTAAGTCTACAACTGGTAGACTCCTCCTACTACCCATTCTAGATTCTTCCTGCCCACCCCCCCAATTTATACTTCTGTTAGTCCACATGGGTTACCTGATTAAGTCCTCAGAGCCCAGAGTTGGGATAGGAGGTATAGTTTTCCCCAGTTGGGTCACTGAGAGTGATGATAATGGGGGGCTGCTCCTACATCCAGCCCCCGTTTCCCAGACCCATATATTTTACTTGGGGATAGCACTCTAGGTTGTCTGTTGATCCAGGGTATATACTGCATCCTGGAGGACAGTGTCTCATCTTTACAGGGTGGCATCTCCAAGCTGGTGTCTCAGCTGTGCCTTTAACAAGATGTCCATTATTGTATCAGGTGGGTTGCTTCTGGATGGTGTGGTATATGATCAGACCATGGATCCTATGATCATGTACCCAGTGCTGTACCTCCTTGCTATAATGTGGTCTCTTGCTCCAGTGCACTGTTAATGCAAGATCTCATGCCAATGGATCAAATATTCTGTAAGCCCTTGGATGATGGTGGCAGGAAAGGTAAACCCATACCCATAATACACATCAATTTAGGTCAAGATGGAACAATGCCCCTTCCAGGGTAGCAGGGAGTCAATGACCACCAAGTGGCTGGATGGTTTCCTTGAAGAATGGTGACATGTCAGGGACTTAGTGTTGGTGTCTGTTGCTGATGAGTTGGACAGTCAGTCACAGTAGCTGTAGCTAGATCAGCCTTGGTGAGGCCATGATGTTGGGCCCATGCATAGCTTCCATCATGGCTCCTCCATTCACAGGCCCATTTTGCCATCACTGGGGTGCCAATGACCGAGACTGGCTAACATCAACTGGCTAAGTCATTCAATCTCCTTGGTTGTTTGGTGACTTTTCTGTGGTGGATGTTCTCTGGTGGGAATTAACATGCAGTACAAAGATCATCATACACTGTACCCATTCTCAAGTAAACTACATACCTTTTCCTCAGGCTTCCTTGTCTTCAGCCTTCAAATTTTTCTTCTAGGCTCCTGATCAACCAGCCAAGCCATTCATCATTGTCTGTGAGTCTATGTTCTTTCCTCAGGCAGAAGCCCTGCCCATTGGGAAGATTTCCCCTCACTGCTGTCTTTCAAGGCTACCCCAAAGTGGGGCCATAGTACATCCACAGTATTTTCAGCTTACTTCCACCTACAGAGACAACCCATATATTAGCCAGGCCCAGCCTTTTGTCATATGGTCATGAGGGATTCCTCCACTCCATGTGGCTATAGATGTGAACTGAAAAAGCAGCAGCAGTGCAATAGTGGTGGGTAACAGGGGTCTGGCCACCTGCTTATGCAGCTTACTTTGACCTTCCAGCCCAGCTTATGCCCAGTGCTATGCATATCACTTTCATCTTATGAAGCGCTGCTGATGGACCCATCCAATCTTATGACTTGGGTCTGACAGAACCCAGGTCATAACAGGCATTTTTGGCTACATGATCACTTGAAGCACTTTGTTTCAACTAGGACTCAGTAGCACAACAGGAGCTATCTTTTCAAAGGTATATAATACCCTTTCAGAAGGCATGGCCTTGGCTCAAGCACGGTAGGGGTCTACGTGTGACTTGCTATTGCGGCTTCCCATAAACAGCATGTGGCATCTTTTCACATCACTGACGCCTTTAATAGGGTGTCTTGTGGACCAAGCAACAGGAACATTTGCACCACGGTCTGGACCTGCTGCAGAGTCCTCCTGCTCTAGGCCTCACTATCTTTTGTGGCACCCAATATATGAGTCAGAGCAGTATTCCCAAGTGGGGAATAAGCTATCTGTAGACCTTGAAGGTGTTACCCAGGCACTGTGCCCCCTCTTAGTGGCGAGATGTGTGAGATATAAAATTTTTCCTTTACTTTGGAGGAGATGTCCTAGCATCGTCCAAACTACTGAATCTCTAAAAACTTCCCTGAACATTTGCAGGGTTTATGTACCACCACTTGAGAATGTTTATCCTATCAAGGCCTCCAGTGGACTTGCTATTTCTTGCTCATCCTGTACAATTACCATGATGTCATCAATAGAGTAATGTGGTATTCTGTGGAACGTCCAGATGGTCCAAGTCTCTTCAGATTATATTACGACAGACGTGGGAGCGTTTACATGTTTCAGGTGCAAGACTGTAAATTGTATTTTATTGCTCATCTCAATAGTGAAAGCAAACTTTGCTCCTCGTTTCTTATAGAGATGGAAAAGAATATATTGCTCAGATTAACAGTCACCTACTGCCTACCTGAGGCTGTTAATCTGCTCCAGCAAAGAAACCACATTTGGCACCGCATATAAAATTGAAATTACTTGACTGAGATTACCATAATCCACTGTCATTCTCCAGGAACTGTCTGGTTTTAGCAGAGGCCAGACTGGTGAACTAAATGGCATTATGGTGGAGACCACCATCCCTGCATCCTTTAGGTCTTCAAGAGGGGCACTAATGTGATATTTTTTAATTTATTATTTTAGCCTGAGATGGTGGAGGCAATTTCAGGAACTTCATATGTTGGCCTTTCTCACTATGATAGCTCTTAACCTGTTGTGGTTAATGTAGGTCTACCAACTATTAACTATGTCTATCTCAATTGTCCAATTAAGGACAGGTGAAATGACCACTAGGTGGATCTGTGAACCCAGTAGACTTACTAAGAGCCAGACCTGGGCCTGGAATACATTTGTTACCTAGCCCCCATACACTGCCACTCTAACAGGGGGCCATGATGATGTTTCAGATACTTGGTTTCAAAGTCAAATAGGACCCTGTATCCAACAGTCTTGAAATAGTTGGATATTCCTCTTTCTCCAAAGTGTATTATGCAAATAAATGGTCGTAAGTCCCTACAGGATAGGACTGGGGGAATTATGACCTTATACTCTTGACATGATGTTTCATGGTCCTTTCTCCTGGGGACCTAACATCTTCTTTCATTAGTTGTTTCCAGCTGAAAAACTGACTCAGAAAGATTTCCACTTCTACCCATAAAGGAATTACCACTACCTAAATTGCTCTCCCACTATAAATAACTATAAAGCCAGAAAAAAAATTTAAAAAGAAATGTTTACAGGGAATTGCCTGTCGGTCCAGTGGTTAGGACAACACGCTTTCACTGCTGTGGGCCAAGGTTCAATCCCTGGTCGGGGAACTAAGATCCCGCAAGCCACACGGTGCAGCCAAAAAAAAAAAAAAAACAGAGAAAGAAAGAAAGAAAGAAATGTTTATAGGTATTGGAAA